GATTCGAGGATGTGGTCAGCTTATCAATTCGAGATTGTAAGAAAAACCAGAGGAATGCTGGAATTTTCAGCATACTGAAGAATACCAAAATGGCAATCAAAAATTGGGCAGGGAGGAGAGACAAGTTTCCAGGGGATTTGATTTCTGATCTTGAATCGAAAATTCAAAAGCTAGAGGTGGATATTCATCAGGGTCTAATTGATTACAGTTCTGAGATAGCACTTGAGTTGAAGAAATCAAGAGCAGAACTGTGGAGACTGTATAAGATAAAGGAGCAGATTTGGTTCCAGAACTCAAGATCGAAGTGGGTAGAAGATGGCGACAGAAACACAAGATATTTTCATACATGTGCTTCAGTTAGGAGGAAAAGAAATGCATTGAATGCTATTCTTGTCAATGGCAATTTTGTTCATGATTCGAATGTTATTAAAGCAACAGTTAGAGATCATTTTTTCAAGGCTTTCAATGATCAGTTTACTCTTCAAGTGGAAGACATTGGGCTGGATTTTTCTAGTATTACACTCGAACAGAGTTTGAGATTAGAGAAAGAATTTACCGAGGAGGAAATTTGGGAGTCTATTGAGTCTTGTAATGGGAATAAAGCTCCTGGGCCAGACGGTCTAAATATGGGATTTTTTAAAAGATTATGGAATATGCTTAAGGGAGATGTTTTGAAATTTTTCAATAATTTCTATTTGGGAAAAAAGTGGGAACACGGTATTAATCATACATTTATTACTCTTATCCCTAAGGTTTCTAATAGTGGCGATCTTGATGACTTTAGACCTATTAGCTTAGTTGGTGGATTATATAAGATCCTCTCCAAGTGTCTTTCGAGGAGGTTGAGGAGCTGTATTTCAGATTTAATCAGTCCCACACAATTTGCTTTTATTCCAGGCCGTCAAATATTAGATTGCTCGTTAATTGCCAATGAAGGAATTGATTTTTTGAGGAAAAATGGACTCAAAGGCTGTGTTTTCAAAGCTGATTTCAAGAAAGCTTATGATTCAGTGGATTGGAGTATTCTGTTTTTAGTTATGGAGAAAATGGGTTTTGGTTCAAGGTGGAGAGGCTGGATCAAAAAATGTGTTTCAACAGCTTCAGTATCTGTTCTGTTTAATGGAGTCCCTACTGAGGAAATTCCTATGGCAAAGGGTCTTAGGCAGGGATGTCCTTTATCCCCTCTACTATTTAATTTGATTGGTGAACTCCTTAATTTACTGATTTTAAAGGTTGTTTCACAGGGGCTGTTTTCTGGATTGGTTATTGAGAGGGGAGAGGGGTCTTTTAATCTTTCTCACTTACAGTTTGCGGATGATCTCATTATCTTTAGTGGTGCTTCGAAAATGCAAATTCTAAATGTAAAAAGGGTGCTTCGTGTATTCCAAGTTATTTCGGGTTTACAGCTCAATTTGAGGAAATGCAAGCTTTTTGGTGTGAATTTGAATGATGAGGAGGTGAATGAGTGGGCTAATACTATTGGTTGTTCTGTTGGAAGCTTTCCTTCTGAATATCTAGGGCTTCCTTTGGGGGCTTCTAGGAATTTTGTTGCTATCTGGAATATTGTAATCAGTAATTTTTTCAAAAAATTAATAGGATGGAAGGCTGCCTCTCTTTCTTTAGCAGGGAGACTGGTCTTGCTTAAGTCGGTACTATGTTCGCTTCCTATTTATTAGCAATAAAAGAGCAATCCAAGATTTATCGACCAGGAATGAAAGCAAATTGCGAAGCACTGATGATATCATTAATGCAACTTTCTCCATGTAAATTCTCTCACCTTTTTTCCCTAATACACAATGACATTTGGGACCCTTGAAGAATAAAACCTTCAAATGTCCAAGTGAAGGGAAAAGAAACAAGGATATTTAGTATCAAATAATGTATCCTTAATGCAGAAATCTCTATAAATATTAAATGATTGTTTAAATGTCAATTCGAGAAAAAGCAAAAAGTCTCCCCAATCCCTCTTAATTGTTTTATATCTACATTTCAAAACCTTCATAAAATAGCATAGTCATGTAAAAAAAATTGATAGTAGGAGACCTCATTAAAAACCTCTCTCATAGTTGGCTCTTGTGAAGAGGCAACTAGCGGAAGGAGGAAAAGAGTACCTCAATTTATAGATAAACTATAAATACATAAGAGTACATTTACACAATAAACTACCCGAAATAAAACACCAAGCATTACAACAATAGAACTCTACACATTCAACCAATACCCTCCTTAGCTAACTTATCAGCCTCCCAATTACAGTACCTAGGAATCAATCTGACAACAATCTCCCTAGCAGAAACTGGTGCCCCAATTTCCTCGACCATAGAACTGAAAAACGTATGGGCGGAGAACGGTATCAAAATCCAGTCCACTGCAATTTTACAATCGATCTCTATGATTAGTCTTCCCTTCAAAGCCCATTCAGAAGAAAGGAAAACATCAATTCCTTTTTTAATGGCTTTCAATTCAACCAAAGTAGGAGGACCTGACCCAACAGCAATAGAGAATATGGCTAAAGTATAGCAATTAGTCTTTCAAAATTCCTCCAATTCCACCTTGCAACCCATCACCTCTAACAGCCCCATCGACATTGAATTTAAAAAAATCAGGTGGCGGTGGAAGCCAGCATTTAACATTCTTTCCCTTAGAAGATTTAATACGAATCTTGTCTGCAAGCGAGGGATCCCCTACTAGTAAATCCGTCCATTTAGCCAGCTTAAATCTGGAAATAAAAAACAGAGAAGAACTGTCAAACTTGCAATTTTCAAACACAACCAAATTCCTAGCCTTCCATAATGACCAGAAAATAACTCCCGGGCTAAAATTCCAAATAGAGGAATAAGGCCTTAGAAAAGACCATGAAGAGAGCAGGGAAGAGGGGCAAGAAATATCCCAACACCTAAGAAATCTATTCCACAGCTCCCCTGTAACCGAGCATGAGATGAAAAGGTGTTGAATTGTTTCTTCATGCTTCTGGCATAAAGGACAAACCACATCTTCCAAGGGAACTCCTCTTTTCTTCAACTCCACTCTAACTGTCAATTTCTGATGAGAGATCTGCCAGAGAAATGCTTCAACTCTAGGAGGGACCAGACTAGACCAAACCCACTTATTCCACTCGAAACTACCTCCCGTTTTGGTAGATAGCGTTAATCGACAAGACTTGACTGAGAACAAACCATCACCTTTCCCTGACCAAGCAAGAAAGTAATCCACTGAATCATCCAGAACTATATTCTCAATCAAAGACATTAAGGCAACCCATTGATCTAATTCCCAATCGCATAGATTCCTCTTTAACTGAATATTCCAAATCCAACCATTATTTTCGAAGTTACCGAAATCTGCCACTTTCCCCCATTTGTTAGTATATAAAGAAAAAAATCCTGGGGAATTGACTTTTTATCGAATCATTAACCCAAACATCATTCCAGAATGCAATTGATCTACCATTACCCACTTGGATCTTCGAATTAGATCTCAAACAATCCCCTATTTCATCTTTTTTCACATAATTGTTCAGAATACCTCTCCAGATCCATGAGTCTTGAGTAGAGACAGCATATAGAGTCAAGTTATTACATTACTTTCTTGCTAAAGGGGAAAAACAAACAAACAAAAAAAAGCAAAACTTATGTTAACTTGTCAATCATCTGTCAACAGGTAGTCAATAATAACATTTCTTTCTATAAATTGATAGTTTGTATGGTGAAATCTTTTTTGAACTTTTACAATATCCTTGAGGGACTTTTTTTTTGTTGTTACATGCATTTGCAATAAATTTGCATGTAATTACTTAGGGTTATGGGAATTGGTTTCTTATGCTATCCTCTTGAAACTCATGCAGTACATGCATTGCTGCAGTTTTGGATTTGAATGCAGCAGCATAGAATCAGAAGATTAAGGTTACTTAGTAAAGTAAATACAGTTAAGCCAAAACTAAACTATGCACACTTGCACCTATTTTCATGACATTTTTTGCCGTTACAGACTTACAGTTATTGGTTTCAATAGAAACCTTTCAAAGCTTGTTAAACAGGTTGCGACTTTACTCCAAAAGATAAAATGTCAAGGTATAAGCATAGTTAAGTGAAGGAAAACTTTATAATATTTTATCAAGCTTACCATCTCAAACAGGATTTCTAAAGCTCAATATCAAATTGAATACAAGCATAGCTCAAAATCTAGATATATCAAGTTCTTAACGTTCGAGAATTTGCCCTGGTTCATTCACAACTCTACCTAACAAGGCTATAAAAAATTTAAACCTTCTAAAAAGGCCACCCTCCGGAAAATGAGAACTTTTAGCCAGTGACAAACACAAAATGTTTAAACTCATAACTCGTCTTTTTCACTTATATTCTCGGGAATGTTTTCACTCTTACCATCATTGGAACAGAAACCAGAAAACAAATGTTCAAAATTAACATATTTCCTTTGAAAAACAATCGAAGGAAATTCCTCCAACTCCCTATCCCACCTAACACCCAAACAAACATAACTTTGTTTTTCATTTGTGTGTCATCACCTTGTGGACTGTTGTAGGTAATTTAACGGTCATCTAATTCAGGAACAAATTTTAAATAGAATTAAGACTTCTTGAAAAAAGGGAAAAGTAAATAAGACCCTTCAAGATACTAACATGCTTTACAAGATGCCTACAATAAGGATGTGAGTAAAACAAGAAGTACAAGGAGAGAGAGAGTTACAGATTAATAGAACACACTAGATATTACATGACTTTTGTCATAAAAGAGACTAATAGAACAAAAAATAATTGCCATTACAATAAAAGAACAATTATCCAGAATAACAATGTTCATGAAAGATATAACTAGGAATGTCTTAAAAGCACCTCCATTGCTTTGCTACAAACTATTGTTTTTCTTTTCAGCACATGTATGGGTGCAGAAAGATCAACATTACATGGAGACCACAATGAAATTCAAAACGGGAATAAATCTTGAGCAAAAGAAATAAAAAATAAGATAAAATTTGCATACCAAAAGAGACAGTGATACGTTGAACGGATCTACTATATGTTCAGGCTTATCACCAACAAAGTGTGAATTGAACCAAGATTCAAAAAACCCAACATTGCTCATACTCAAATCCTTGCCAACATCTTTGGAGATGCCACAATAAATTTCTAACCCTTCAACCTCCACAATTTTGCTCTCCTGACCCATTTTCAACCTGCTTTATAAAGCAAGAAAGTATAAATGCATTTGAAAGTAAAGCTAATTACATATCAAAAAGATAATAAGGATCAGAATTAGAACTTCGTGAGTGTGGTTTTTTTTGGTGGAACTGATGAATAAGTAAAGAAGAAAACAAAATGCAAATTCAATTTGCTATTGGTGAATTGTGCTTAATAAATTAAAGCATAATAAGGCACATTTCACACACAAGCCAATCCACAACTATCATTGCCATTAAGTTGAGGAAGTTCAAATAAATTACTTCTTGAAGTCACTAAGACAGTCTACAAGGAAGAGAAGGCATGACTTTGAAAACTAAGATGAGCATCAAGAACATTATAGTAGACCAAAGAAATTACCCAACAGAATTTTGCTTTAACATTGTCAAGCTAGAAAATCTTAAACCAAATAAAACCTGCTCCTGCAAAACATTCAAGTAAATAAATGTTTTAAAACTTTAATAGAAATAAACTGCATAAAAATATAACAAAGAGAAAAGTTTATATAACAACCTAGCAAAAAGGTAATGCCAATTTTTAAAGAAAAACAAGGATTCCTCAAAGCATCCATATGTAATTAAGCCTCGGTTCATCCTCAGCATGTACCCATAAACATCCCATGCTTAATTTATGCAAGATCACTAATATCAGTGTAGGTTGTAGACGATAAAGATTTAAATTATTGTAATTATTATCAGCTAACAGTTTAGGATAAAATCTAACTCTTATCTCTTAATTAGTTTAGACAACTATTGTATCTTATCTCTTACCTATTAGATAGGATAGGATTTTGTTTAAAGTGATTGTACTAGAACTCTCTACAAATTAGTTTATTTAAGCAGACTTGCAGTTTTATACTAATCAAGGGAAAAAACACAGTGAATCCAATTGATCACTGTATAAAATACTCTCCTCAATTTTCTGCAATCAGAAATTGCCAATTATTGCAGCCAGATGCAAAATAAAGACAACACTTATTTTTTATATCACTATATGATCAAGTGGTTCACAAAGAAAAACTACAACGATCCCTTGGCTTATTGAGTCAGCCTTCATATACCGCGAATAGCAAGAATTAGACATTCCATCTTCGTGAATTTCTATTTCTTGTAAGAAATGGTGAAGTTCCAGTGTTCATATCACCAAAAAAGGACAATAAAGTGTACAAAAGAAAAAGAGAATACCAACAGACATAAAAAATAATCGCAAAAGGCATACAATCAGTACAAAGAAACGTGGGAAACATAAACAGCAGCAGTTGATATAGCATCAGAATAGTTATGATAAATGAAATATAAAACATTACAATAGTTCCTATAGAAAAAGCACAAGGCGGGAGAAGATGGTATGCTTACCGAATTTGATTGCATATCACAGTACAAAACATGGAAATTTCTAATGGACACCTGGATATTCTCAAGAACCTAGAAGGAAAAATCAATTGTCAGGAGTATCGAATACATTCAAAAGTCAGAACAATGTATTTGCAACATGCAGAAACAAAATCTGAAACAACAGAGGGCGCAAATGATCCACACAACCATACAATGAAATTGAACAATATATTTATCAGCAAAAATACTGAACGGAGAGGAAACAAATAAAGGGTTTCAAAAAATGGAACCTTTGTGGTAACAAGGGAATGAATGACCACCCTCCTTTATTATCTGCATGGGTTCCCAAGAATAGATTAATCTATAACCATCATTAAGCTAAAACATCACAACATATCAAAATTTTCTCTAGAAATTCAAAACATATAGACATAAATGACCAACCACAAACACGTAGTGATAGTTTAGCAAGCTCAGCAGCAGCAAGCTTAGCCTTCTTGCCAGCAAGTTCTCTTGTTTCAATGGCATCCATTCTCCACTGCCACAAAACTCATAAATCCATTATATTAGAGTTTTTCTTTTCTTTTCTTTAATTCAAAGAAATGAAGTAAGTTAGATGAATAAACAATACCTCATGATCGTCCCTGGGGGATGCGGAAAAAAAACATTCTCCAAAGCAATAAGAATGGGTTCACCTCCAATCAAACTCCAAGGAACCTTAATGCTGAGCCTCCCAACTCGACCTTGCTTCAAAGCAAAAGGTAATTGCAGATAATCGAAGGCTTCGAGGATGAGGTCTATGTCCTTCAATTCAACCTCAATGTTCCAAAGAGTGACCTTCACCTGGTCCTTCGAGAAATCCTTGACATATCGCCCAAGATATCCTAGTAGCACCTGATGAACCACTCTTTCCAGCATCTTTTTCGCCCCTTTTGCTATCGAACTAAAACGGAGACTTTTCTAGCATCGGTCGAAATTCATTCACGTACCGACGTTTTCAAAGCCCAAATAATGAAGATATTACGGCAGCTGGAAATTTCGATCTGTTCTCCCTTACCTACAATCAAGTGTATGATCCGTTATTTCAAAAAAAAAAAAGTGTATGATCCGTCCTTCAAAAAAAAATGTATGATCCGACACACAAAACCCTAAAACCAACGGTGCGACAGGTATATGGCTTAAAAAATATTATTGGTATTTTTATTATCTAAATAAAAAAATAGATAAAAAAATCGAAAATATTATTTTTTTATCGGATTTAATTATCGATATAGATTAATATGGTAAAAAAATAATGTTTTAGGTAGTATTCTATCGAAAATATTATTTTTTTACCGTGTTTACCTATATCGATAATTAATAATAATAATAAAACCGTTAGAAATGATAATGTTTTCGATCATTTTTTACAGGTTTTATTATTTAAAATAATAACAAAACCGGTAACATTTTTTTTTAATCGTATATTAAAACTATCGCACGTGAATATTTCTCAAAAGTAGTCCTCTAGTATTTTCTACTATAACAAAAAACACATATTTGCAATGTTGGAGGATTAAACATTTAGGGTAAAGTACAAATATGGTCACTAAACTATATTGAAATAATCTTATTGGCTATTTAAGTTTCTAAAGTTAGAAAACTTATTAAATTTGTCAACTTATTATAAAATAGTCATTATAAACTATAAAATAGTGATGAGTTTTGATAAGTTCAATGAGCTTTTTATAATATTTTTATAAGTTTAGTGGTTATTTTGTAATATTTTGATAAATTTTATGATCATTTTGTAATAATTTAACAAGGCATGATGATTATTTTTAAATTGTTTGAAAAGTTTAATAATGATTTTGTAACTTTTGAAACCTCAAGTGATAAATAGATCGCTTAAGTATAGTTCAATTATCATTTTTATACTTTAACCCCAAAAAATTACAATGTTTTTTCATTGGCTTAAGGGTTACCTTTACCTCTGTAGTAGACCAAATTTATCATTTTTGTCCAAATTGTATTTTTGCATCAATTTAGTCCTCAAAGTTGTTTAGTTGCATCATTATATACTTTTCCCCTAAGTTAAAACCCCAAACTATAAACCCTAAGTTAACATTTAAAGGTAATATGGTTATGCTTTAGGGTTTAAAGTTTATAATTTAGGGTTTTAAGTTAGGGGTAAGGTTATAGAATGATGCAATTGAGCAACTTTGAGAGCTAAATTGATGCGAAAATACGGTAGGGGCGAAAGTGATAAATTAGATCTATTATAGGGGCAAAAGTTACCATTTTGCCTTTTCCATTTAATAAAAAGTATGGTAAACTACACGTTTAATACATCAACTATCATTTTTGTAACGCCCTAAATCTCGGGTTAGTAGTTCGGGTCAACCCGAAGCCTAAAGTTGAGCCAAATTGGACCTTATAAAATAGTTGGACCCAATTTAGTGTTTGTGGGTTTGAGTTGGGCCTATGAGTTAGTTGGTGAAAGATGAATGTCTTATAAATTAGAAAATAGGGGGACTGAAAGTGCAATTTACTCAATTCTTAATTCAAAAGATGAAACTCCCATATTTTATGAGACATGCAGGAACAACTCCCCATTTTTTCCACCAAACACTCATCTTATTCTTCCATCTTCAAGTTGAAGGATTTAGAACTTGAAGTTTAGTTTGGGTCAAGCAAAGGTGAGATTATTAATCCTCACCCTCCAAACTTCAAAATGTATATTATATAATTTAAGAAACCATATTATATATATATATATATATTAAAAACTATATATATATATATATATATATATATATATATATATATATATATATTGTATAATAGAAATCCTTAGAATGCTCCCGGAAGAAAATGAGTATCTACAGTAATGATGTGACATATTATCATGTCAACGACAAGTGTTGACTATTAGTTAACTAAAAGCTTTTATCCAATTAGGGGATGATTTACCCCCAAAGCAAAATATATGAATTAAAGTACTTCAAAAAAATAATAGGGTCAAAGTGACTATTTTGTAAAACATTAGAAGTAAATTTTGGTATTATGCTTAGATTTTTTATTTTTTTAAAAAATATTTAATTTTATATATTTTTAAAGTTTAAGGAATAAATTTAAATATAATGAATATTAAGGATTAACTTTATTATTATATTTGAAGAAAATAAAAATAATAATTTGAAAAATGTTATCATTATTTTATTGATAAATATGAAGTAAATATCATATAGTATTTGTTCAAAGACTCTAAATCAATTGATAATAAATACTTAAATTCATGTCGATGCTCAAATCTGAAGCCTCTCAGAAAGATAATAAGCTTTTAACCATCTAGATTGTATGATATGTACCTGTATTACATTATTGAATTTAGTATAATATATGTATATATATCAAAATTCAAATAATTAATCTAAAAAATAACATAAAAAGGATTAATACAAAAATAAGTGCATGAAATTTGTCTAAAAAGTGTTTTAGTACCTAAATAATTTTTCGCTAAAAACAGGTGCCTAATGTTTCTAAAGGTATACATCTAGATGCCCGCATTTAAAATCACTGTTAACTAATCGTTAAGTGACATGTGTCACATTCTAGTATTTTTGAGAATTTATCAAAAAATAAAAAAAATATGTCTTCTAAAAAAAAGAGCAGTCCCCCGTGCTCCCTTTCCCCTGTAATAGGTCGTCGGCCTGCCGGCAGTGACCATCATTGTAACACCCCAACTCGTATCTGACCCGGATACGAGTCTGAGATGTCACATTGACATTTCAAAACCTTTAATCTTACAAAATAACAGAACATTTGAACTTATATTAAGAAAATACGATAATATATTGTTGAATTGTATTTGTTATAAAATTTTGAGGCAAAAACGTATTTTTGAACAGTAATTAACAGTGCCATGAACAGTGCTACAGTGATTTTCGTAAAATGTACACAAAACTCGTAAAAATTAATCGTTCCTTACTAGGCATTTACATTTACATATATGTGTTTAAAACATTCCAAAACTCAATCAAAGCGTATCCAATAAACACATTTTTTATTACATGCCAACTAAAATTCCATTTAACAAAATACATATAATTCAATCTATATTTCTGATCTGATCTTTGGTAAGGAGAACTGACCTGTCTTGTTCCTCTTTACTTCTCTTTTCGCTTTCCAAACCTACGTGTGAAACAATCACATGCTAAGTCATAGGCTTAGTGAGGTATATAAAACATATAATAAAACTATAGAACATTTCATATAATAAAATGCATACATATACATATACCATCATCATCATAATTTCTATTTATCATATAATTTTATACTTATCATTTATGTATATCATATAACACACATAACATAATATAATTCATGTAACATATTTCATATCATCGAAACATATACATCATATGTATTGTAATTATTATTGTCTCTTTATTAGCCCATGTACATTTTTGAGAACTTAAGGTATTCGAGTACATTGAGGTTGTGCACAAATGTTGTCACCACAGCTCGCATAAATTTGTATCGAAGTGCCACGTAGAATTTGTCCCGAAGGACCTCATAGAAATGCACCGTAGTGCCATATAAGATTGTCCATATGGACCATATATAAATTCCTTAAGAATCATACACATATACCAAGGATCAATGTAACACCCCCAACCCGTATCCGACCCGAATACGAGTCCGAAGTGTCACATGGACTTTTCAAACCTTGACTCTTCAGAAAAATCCCGGGAAATTTAAAACTTTATTTAAAACAAAATACAGACTTTATCAGAGTACTCGTACTTAATGACTTATTACATGCCAACACTTTATACATAACCAAAAACAAACTTTATCAAATATTTCTGATCTGATCTTTTGGTAAGGAAAACTGACCTGTCTTGCTCCGCATCACTCCTTACTCTTCTCGAAACCTACGTGTGAAACAATCACACGCTAAGTCGAAGACTTAGTGAGGCATAACCACTTATAATGCACTTTAAAACCTATATTGATACATGCATGGTTTGTTCTATCATGTTACAGCAAGTTCATGCATTTTTCATATCGTATAAAATCATATCAGAATAATTGCAGTAAATACATGCATACACATAATTCATCATTAACAGTTTATCATATAATCACATACTATTTCAATCAAACACTATACACACACAATATCATATCATTTCTATAGCATTTATCATACCACTAACTTATATTTGTTCATATCTCTGGATTAGCCCATGTACATATGTGAGAACTATCGATATGTGAGTCTATAGAGGTTGTGCACTATACTGTCACCACAGCTCGTATAAATGCACCGAAGTGCCCCGTAGAATTGCACCGAAGTGCCCGTAGAATTGCACCGTAGTGCCCGTAGAATGATGTCCATAAGGACCACGTAGAATTCCTTAAGAATCATATACATATACTATGGATCAAGTATGTGTCTTTCAAGACTTCACACAGGTTCCAAAGGATATACATATGTCCTAAAGAATCGAATAAACCCTCGACTCTTGGCATGCCAACTATACCCCTAGCTCTCATGACACATAACATGGGCGTTATCATTTATTTCATTTCAAATATACACATAAACTTGTAATTCACTTTCACATATCACGTATCACATAGCTTCTTTTCATATGATCACATAGTCACGTAGTTCACTTACCCGTAGATCATTTCCATATAATTCACATGTCACATATGTCATGTTTTCCTATAATTTCTATCATTTCTCACCCAATCACCTTTATTCATATAAACATACTTATCATATCTTGTTCACCTAAAATCATATACTTCATATAATATATCGAAACACCTAGAACACTTTCACGTAGCTTATAGTCATAAGTTTTGTCTCGTATCATATACTTGTTTTCACATATATATTTCCTATCAATTCTTATGCCATCACATAATTCCTTTAACATACATAACATATCATGTAACATTATAATAGAAATACTTATAAGTCATATCACTTAAAGCACATATACTTATAGTCACATTGCTTATATCTTAATCGTATGCCTTCTCTTAAACATATATATTCACATGTTCAGGTAATTCACCATTTCATCACATAATTGGGTATTCATATAACTCATTTCATTTCATTTC